TAGTTGTTTCTATTTTACAGCAAAGTTTGATCAAAACTGACATTTCTGTCATTTTCAAAAATATTAAATCTATTGCTTTACTAAATTTCATTATTAGTTATCGCAATACTCTGTACCAGAAATGTACTAGGGGTATTCGTTCTGAGACAAATTTTAAAGTTCAAAGGGTATATAATTATATGGCAAAACACATCTTTTCTTCTAAGGAAAATCAGAAAAGCATAATTTTGCATGAGTTCCAAGGAAGTAAAAATAATTGAATTAGAAATACGGAAAAAAATATTACTTGGTGTCTTGTGGCTCTCACAGGAAACACAAAATTTAAAGAAAAGGTCATACTGTTTGAAAACTCACATAGCATTTTTAGAGACTGGAATCATACAGTGGATGAATTTACACAGGGTCTAAGCAATTTCTGCCTTGTAAAGATATGAAAACTAATTCAATATCCATATGTTCAATCATGGTCTGTAAAAGCCCCCTAATAGTAAATGGCAAATGTGTTTTAATTAAATCAGAAGCTGACATAAATCTATGTTACTGTAAAATGGGCAGGAACCTGTAATTCTGCTGAGAAAATTATTTTAGGCACTAATAAATGTCTAAAATTGATGTATAATTTATAGCAGTGAAGATACTAACTTAAGTTTGTAATGATTTCCTTTCTTCATTCTAATTTGGTTTCATAGCAGAGAACCCTTGCTTCTCCATGCATGCTTGGAAATAATGCATGATTTTTTGAACAGTACTGTATATCACAACTGTCATGGATGAGACAGTAAATGGCAAATCCTAGTGAATCTGGACTGATGTTTGTTATTATTTATTATTATTATTAAATCAGCTCTCACATTTTTATCTTTTAAAATTAAATATTCAGGATATTAGCTATTTGGTATAAACAGTTATTTGATCTAAACTTTTCTTGTGCTAGCATCTGGGAAGCTGGTGGGGTTTTTTAATTTCAATCTAATTTTATTTTCTATATCAAAGTCATGAAACAGTATATGACTCTTTTTAAAATGCAGATAAGATAATTAATAATATTCCTTTGAGAACTTGGTAGGATTGAGCTAGTGTGGGAAAATTCAGCTCTTCCTTGATGCACGTGAAATCTGTAATTACCACAGAAAGAGACAATGCTTTTTACATATAATTTTAATCTCATCTGGGGGGAGTCCTGAAATTCCTTAGTCTTCTTTAGGTTTTCAAGAATAAATATCCAGAAAGGAGAAAAATCTTTCAGATATCTTGATTTCTTTCTCTTTTCCGCATGTACGGGTGGACATTTATCAGTACATAATCGTGTATTTCTTGTTGTACTCTCTTTAACACTGTGACATTAGTTCCTTACTATTTTGCCTTTAATCTACACTGCTGGCCTTTGGAAGTCTTCATTGGTTAAAACCAACAACAACCTTGTAATGTCACTCTGTAGCATCATCATAGCAAATTGTGTGAGGACTTAAACAAGAAGACAGTAATAATTCTACCTTAAAATAATTCAGTCTAGTTCTTCCAATTAATTACTGTGCCCTTACACTAAAAAAAAAATAATTTTAAGCAGCAATAAAGAATTTTAAGATATCCTGCAAAGAAATGCACGCACAAATGATATTAATTGAGCTCTAAATCAGTGATGCTAAACAAAAGCAAGGAAATGCATGGTGAAGCAGGAAATGAACCATATGTTATTGTATACCTAGGCACAATAGGGACACTATCTTAATGGCTTTCTTAATGCTCCTGTTGTACCAGATATTGGTGGACATATGGTATGCTTCTTTTTTATATGCCTGTGCATTTTCATGATTTTGTTAGCTGACTTTGATAGCATTTTCTGTTTGTCTGCTATTAGGAAGTGGTCTTTAAAACATTTTGCTCATTAATTTGGAGTTCAAAACCCAAGTATTTTGTTTTGCTTATTCATTTGTATCAAATCCTTTTTTTTTTTGCTAAAGAAGTTGCATATTCATTTTATTATTATGCTTTTCACAATTTCAGTCCCTTTCTGGCAATAATTTGGAACAAATTGTGTAGTCCTTCCACATACAGAAGGGTTTTGACTCAGTGCTGGCCTAACAGCTGGCTAAAACTACAACAGCAGCTGCAGAGCTATCTGAGCTTTTCATGACCAGGATCATGGAATTATAAAAATATTTAGGTTGGAAAAGACTTTTCAGATCATCAGGTCCTAGCAATAACTTAGCACTGCCAAGTCCGTCAATACCTCCAGGGGTGATTCAACCCCTTCCCTGCGCAGCCTGTACCAATGCTCAATAACCCTTTCAATCTTCCTTATATCCAATCTAAACTTCCACTAGCACAACTTGAGACTTTTTCCTCTTGTCCTTCCACTTGTTACTTGGCCACTCACGCAATTTGCTGCTTCCCTGCCTGCCCTGAGGAACCTCAGAGAGCTCTGTCTGGAAGCAGACATATTTCCCATTTCAGCTGGCTCCTAGTGCCCTTCCATCATGTGGCTGAGGGACACAATAGAACAACTTCTTATCCCATTCTTTCCCAGAAGCTGTCAAGGCTAGCTGATCCAGACTACCCACAGGAAAGATCTCCTTAATGGAAATGGAAGGAATGCCACAAATGCTCACACTGAGTTAGACTGTTCATTGCTGCCATCACATGGAATACACACATTGAAATAGCGAAAGTGCAGAACTATTAGGAAGAATTAAATCTTCTAAACAGAGAAGAGCAATTGAGCCAAACCCTTTTGGTATACATGTGACATACTCCAGGTATACATTGGCAAAAATTACCTTCCATAAAGCAGTGATCTCAGGAGTTCCTACAGGACGTATTTGAAGACTGTTGTAAACCAATGTGGAAATGAAAGCAAGTTGTACACTAGCTTGTCAACAAACACTATGAAGTTCTGTGATTTGTTACAGATTGAGACTAGTATTTTAAAAAAAGAATGGATGCATGCTAGGGATTTCTGGCAAGTGTGTAAGCTTTTGCATAAACATTTAAAGCTTACCATTCTATATATTCATGTATTTGTTTTAGTAGTAGCTCATATGTGTAGCTGCATTCATTTGATTGCAAAATAGATGTCAGAATTAAACTCTTACTCTTTTATAGCTACCCTAACATAACATCTAGAAACACCAGCTTGTTTCTAAAATGTTTAATTAAAAAATACTGTAAAAACAAGTAACTTGGTTTGTCTTGAAAGTGTGTTCTGTGTGTTTCTAGGGGAACAAGAGGTAATTTAAGCCCATAGCTATCAGTTAAGGGCTAGTTGCAGGTACTATTTTGCATATATATTTCATTTATTTATTTAAGTTTAATCTACAACTCATTTGCTAGTTTTAGGGATTTTATTTTTAGTTTATATTAGTATATTTTAGATTAGCAAAATTAATGAAGGAAAAAACTGTGAGTGATATTGCACAAATACATGCACAGAAGTATTTTTAATAATGAGTTGTTAATAGAACTTAATATAGAATCTCTAACAAGACAAAATTATTTTTGGAAATCATTAAAGTAATTAAAAAGGAAATGTCCATTTGTTAAAAAAAAAAAAATCCAGTGAAATTCAGTATTAACAACTAAGTTTTCAATCATTTTAGTCTTGTTTATCCAGCAGGGTGAAGAATTTGCCAGATTATTGATTCTTACTTGGCAACCAGTCTGTTCTTCAGCAGACAGGAACATCATGTGATCTGTGACTCTGCAAGTGATCACACAGCTGTGCTAGCTCAAAGACTTCTACTATTTGGCATCTTACTTAACCCAGAGTGATTTTGACACGTGATGCTGGGTTTTTCTAAGTACGCATTTATTTTCTTACTAGTAGACACATTAGAGTAGATGTGTACGCATAATGGCATGAAGGAGCCATTCACACTACCAGGAGCTGGGTTTAGATCTACTAGGAAAAAACATGTTCCGCAGTCAGACAACAATACTCAGGTTCCTCGACATGTTTGGACACTCTTCACAAGACTTTTAAGGTCCCAGAGCCAAGACTAATCCAAAGGGTTTATGAACTCCCTTTGCTGAAAGCCTGTTCAAGATACATTAAAAAGACAAGAAAAATAGGAATTGCACTGTGGCTTGACAGCAGGATTTCAATGAAAGTGTAAAGATGACACTGGGAGAATTGGAGATGTATGGCCCTAAGCTTAAGGCATAGAAAATTTTCAATTAAACATGGATGAGGTAAAAGCTAGTAATATACATAAATAGTTTAGATCTGCCATGATTTATTCACTCTTACATGTGGTTTTCTTGGGTCAGTTTCTAGTATAGCTATTTTGGGCAGTGCTTAAGCTCCTAAATCTTGATAAGCCTGTGTTCTGTGCAGGGCTACTGTCTTTTTACTGTGTTCTTAATTCCAGAGAGCATAATAGCCTGTTTCTGGTGCCCACCTTGAGTGGCAGTTCTTGTTCTGCTGCACACTGGTTTTGAGCATGTGATTTACCCACCCAAAATTTGGCTAAGTTATAATTATGCTTTTACAAGTAATCTCTCCCTATTGTTATTAATGTAATATGAAGACATTATGCTGGACTGCGGTCTAGAATTCTGACAAATTAGGGGTTTGAGATATCTTTGACCTTTTTCACTATTCTCCACTTTCCCTTCTTCTGATAAAAAAACTCATGAGTTATATATAAGTACTTTAAATGTATCTTGAATAGCAATAGTACTGCAGTTCAGAATTGTCAATCAATAAATAATAGCTCCTAGTCATCAAAAGTGAAGCAAGTGTAGACTACTCACTGTGAAAGACAATTCCAAGTAATTGCTGTGAAACACTATAGTTTTTTATTCATTGTTAAGGAATCAGTTGAAGAAAGTATCTAATGCATACTACAAGCTTAACAATACTGAAATCTTTTCCCATCTAAATTCTACTGTATCCTACTGTAATTTTTTCTCAGAATAAATTTGACCTGCAATTGTTTTAAACTTAAACTGACTTTTCTGCTTACTGTTGTGGTCACATATCTTTAAAAATTTCATTTCAGAGTAGAGAGACAGAAGAAAGCAGACTCAGGATTTTTGACCAAAGAAAGTTCCTTGGATGTTGCTGGAAAGTCTACCAAGATAGTGAGTGAAGAGCAGATCATCAAAGAGCCCTGCAGCAAAAAAGGCTAACAGTAAAGAAGGACAATAAAAGTAAACTCTTCATAAAGATGTAAAGGAAAATTTCATTGAAGAAGTGCATGCCGGACATATATGGGAACACTGTATGCATTATTTCTACGTATTCCAGATTTTTTTTGAGAACCAAGGAAAATATGCTAGTGCCAGTGTGTACTAACCTAGAATTTTTGTTGACAGTTTTCTGTCCTTCCTTTCCAGTTGTCTTTATTGCACTCCTCTAAAGCAAAAGGTGTATTTTGATTTTTCATTTAGGGAAAAAATACTTTAGAATGTACACAACATATGAAAGGTTCACATTTAGTCCTGGGAAGACAGTGAGTCTGAAATGGAAGTCAATAATTTGTTTCTTGCTTTGCTCCTGTCTTTTCTTTGTATTTATATAACAATGGGCAAGTAACTTTGCTTCTCAGGTTCCCCAGTTCTATCACGGTGACATACGCACTACACTTTTTTTTCATTATAAAAAAAAAAAAAAGAAGAAGTTTTTATTTAAAATACTTGAATGTTATTACTTATACATTTAGATTTTAAAAGTATTTGTTTTTCTTATGACATAAAAGAAATACATAGAAATAATGCATCTAAACTATATCTTAATGTATATATCACATTTTTTTTTTATATTTTTTAATAGTCCATGGAAAAATTATAAATGTCACATAGAAACCCACATGAATATATTAAGATAAACTGCAAAAGCAGATTTTGAAAATTTTAGAAAATTCATTATTTATAAAAAACAGTAACTTTCAGACACAAATTATACTGTTTTGCTGTTTGACATATACAGTTTTTAACGTATAAGTAGATTCTGCATCACAGTTTCTGCAAACCTGTTTTACTTGCTAAGCGATGTTTGTTTCATGCCTTATATCCCTATAAATTGAGAACTTCTGAGAGAATTCTAGTTGTATTTAAAGCTAACAATATTTCTCACACCATTAATATATTATATTCTCCTTCTAAGCCTGTTGCAGATATTGTGTCCTCCTGATTTGTCTTGCAATTTACCTGGCACCATATAAAAAGAAACATTTATTTTCACAATTGGTGACTGCTGTAGAAATTTTTGTGAAGACAATGTGTGCATAGTTAAAATTTACTTAGTTTCAGGTGCAGATTGGTCAAATTTATAAACGGGAAGCATTAAAGGTTGTTAATTACACAGGAATCACATTTTTTCTAGGAATTCCCTAAGCTGTAAATGATTGGAGGCTGAGATTAGCCAGAAGACTCTACCTGTGTTTGTGGCCACCTCAGAGCACCAGCTTTTGGCCGCTGCTGGAGATGGTATGCTAAAGTAGAAGGATCCGTGTTTTGACTACCTTATTATGTTCTTAGCCTTTTCTCATGTTTACAAGTGCTGACCTATTCCCAGCCATTACCTCTCAGAATACAGTAAGGGATACATAATGAAGGAATGCTGTCTTTCTCTGCTACCAGTAGCTGATGTTCATCAGCAAAGTACAGAGATACTGTGAGACAATTTATTTTTAAGTGAATTTAAACGTTTAAAACTTATAGGACAATAACATTGACAATAACGTAAGATTCATAACTGTCCTCGTTCCAGCTGGAATAAAGTTATTTTTCTTCTTAGCAGCTAGTACAGTACTGAGTTTTGGCTTCAGTCTGAGAACAATGCTGATAATACACCGATGTTTTAGATCCTGCTAAGTAGTGCTTACCCTGATCAAGGACTTTTCAGTCTCATGTTCTGCCAGTGAGAAGGGGCACAAGAAGCTGGGAAGAAGCACAGCCAGGATAGCTGATCCAAACTAGCCAAAGGGATATTTCATACCATAGAACATCATATTCAGTGTATAAACTTGGGGGTGGGTTGGCAAGGCGGGGACGGGATGGGCATCGGTCAGCTGGTGGTGCAGAGCTGTACTCTGCATCACTTGTCTTTCTCAGATCTTATTCTTCTATTTTTTTTTTCTTTTACATTATTATTATTATTGTTGTTATTATTATTATATATTACTTCAATTATTAAACTGTTCTGTTCTTAATCCACAAGTTTTTTTCTAATACCCATCATACTTAGTTTTCTTTTTTAACTTGAACTCCTTCCCTTTCTTAGCTTACTGGTTCAAGGATTTATATTAAACAAAAGAACTCTGGCCTAGTTCCATGCATTGTGACTTTCTCTAAAATTTCTCTAAAGTTCCATCTGCTTTTCTTATGCCAGCATCTTTGTGACACCTCAGCATGTAATATGAAAATGCCGAACTGAAAATGCCATATTAAAAATGTGAATATGACAATAGAAATTGAAAGTGTGTAATTACTGATTTTCAAATACTGTAACAGCCAAATGTTCTTCTATGGTTACACTAAAGCACTTGAAAATATAGTAATGCCACATAACAGCTTACTGATAAAAGCCTGTATCATTTAGACAAGGTTTGGAGACAAGACTTTTTTTTTTTTTTTATCTGACAAGCAATTAGAAATATGGTCCTTTCAGAGATAAAGTCCGAGGTCTTCAGGAGCTGGGCAAGATTTCTTTAAGCTCCAGGGTCTCTTTTCAGCCTACAGTAATATCTAGGGCTAAAAGTTAAATAATTTTGTGAGTTACTGGGGAAAGAAGGATTCTGTATTTCTCCCTGTCTATCTCCAAGCAAGTAAGAAAAACAAATAACGTTTAATTGGTGCTGGAGAATATTTCTGTGCTACCAACTTGGTGTTCTAACATGGATGTCGATAGAAATCAAACTGGAAGCTAGTTTCTGCTGCTCTGTGTAGCTCTAACATACAAACCTTTAGTACATGCTCACTGTGTTATAATACCCAGCAGGCATGCTATATCTGGATAGTCCAAAGGTTATGTCAATAAAAAGATTATCAGATTATGCTAATCTTTAAATTTATATTTCAAAATATCAATATAGTATCTTTTATTTCTCATAAGAAAATTATAGTTTCTTGAGGGATAGTTAATATTTACATTTATCCCTCACATTTCTTTGTAATCACTTATTGATCATATTTTACTTTAAAGTACCTTTTTAGCAGTACTATTTAACTTGTCTTGCTTGATTGTGATAGATCACACAAGATGCTTTCATTTTTCATAATTTCCTCCTATTCCTTGAGTAAGAGAAAATGCAGCTACTTCTGTTAACCACATGAAATATTTATTTCAGCAACTACATACACAGAGAACTTCAGAGGTCTCTCTGAAAAAGTAAACCCATAAATTAGTCACTTGAAAGTAAGCCAAATAAGATGATACATAATCGCCCTGGCTGCAGCAGATAATGTCAAAAAATGTTAATTTATGTCCTTTTCATCATAATAATAGCATACCACCTGATCTTAAATATACATCTATGATATGTGCTATATACAAGTATTCCCATCCATTCCTCTTTTTCATGTGTGCAGTGAACACACACATTTGTGCAGACATGACTTGCTCATGGTCACTAAGGATAAATACGGGAAAGTCAGGAAAATGTCAAACCTTCAATTTGGTTGCAAACCATTGAGTTGTTCTTCCTTTCTTGAGATAAGTGTTGCCTAAAAAAGCGAAATGTCTATCCATTTACTGTCTGAGTGTGACTGTCTCCGTTGCTTCCATGCTTAAATCTTGCCACAATTGAGGGGCTATCTCAAGAGTAACCAGAGTCTATTTATTTTCCTCACTTTAAAGGAAAAAAAATCCTCCAATACTAAATTAAAAATATGCCAGGAAGCAATTATTTCTCAGGAACTATGGAGATTCTTGGATGCCTTTTATCATTAGAGACTGTGACTTCAAGATGAAGGGAAGCAATTTTATTCAATTTTAATCAAAAAAGTATATTAATATTTTTTTACAATCTAAATAAATATTATCTAAAACTCAAACACTAACTTCAAGGGTTATTCTCAATATGTTCAACAAACATAACTGTGTTAAACTGCAAATGTGATTCAGTTGCCTGCTTTAATCATGAACAGAATATTTTCCAGGCAATGCCATTTCAGGAGTCAATTGATCTTAATTAGAAAAGGGCCATGAATGCCTGCTTAGGCTAAGATTAGATAAAATAATTCTTAAAGCTGTTAATATTTAAAAGAAGAAAATGCAGATAAGTACAAACAAAACCATGCTTCTTATAATTTAAGTTTGTGTTTTTTTCTTTGTAAGAGTGTAAAATGAAGAACTATTATCATACCATCAATCAGTGGACACATTAGAAGATAAAGGTGAATTTGCTTATCTAATTAACTCAACAGAATGCTATGGTACACATACAATAGACAGTATTTCTGTCTAAATGAATGCTTTTCTTCCAGTCAGATAATCAATAAAAATACAAATGGATTCAAAAGTCAATGCTCTACATAGATTCTCATTAGACATTGCACTACATTACTGATATCCACAAACAGAATTTAAGAAGCACAGCTTTAAGAGTTCTGAAATGGCAGCATATTTCTGAAGGCTACTGTAATTGTTCCCTAATGTCCTGACGACATTGATTAGAGCTTGATGAAACCACAGAAGTCTCTCTCAAATAAACAACCAACTACAACAAAAGAACAAAAAAAAATAATTAAAAAGGAAAAAAAAGAAAGTGGAGCTCTTAGTGCCATGGTAATTCTCTAAGAAAAGAAATCAAAATTAGGAAGAATCTTAAACTTTGAAGTGTCTGCCCTTAAGAGAAAAAGCAAATAAACACATTATCTTTAATGTGTTTTGACGTGTTTTAGAGACATTCCCTTTTAATGAGAAAAAATACTAAAAGTTTTTTGACATGACTATATATGATTAATCACTTATTTTGTTTTCTTCGTTGTATGTTGTTCTTCACCTTATTTTGTTCTTGTTATGTACTGCCAGATATATTGTTAAAAATCATGTTGACTGGAATAGAAAGTTTAAATGCTTTTACTGCATTCAATGGAACAAAGTTTTGTTTTCCAACTTAAATGCCTTATGAAAGCTTACATGTAA